AGAGACCGGTTGATGTAGACGTGGTCGGTCGGAAGGGGTCAAATGAAGGTGTGAGCCCTAGGCTCAACAGAAAGGTCATGATGAGGGCGGTCGATGCATAGGCTATCGATGAGAATTGGTTGGCAGGAAAACTTTCATACGCCTGAGAGGGAGGCCGGTCTGACAACAAAGACAACCGTCGTGCAAGGTTTCCTGTGCGACGGAAAGCAGTCAAACAGGAGGGCATTCTGTGTGATAGTTGGGTTGGCGTAGAGATTGTTCTGCAAATGAATCTCCCTTATGCTATTGATGAAGCTAAAGGGAATGCAACCATACAAGGCATTGGAGCTAAAATCAATAACTTCCAGTTTGGTGATATTGTAAAGGGATTTGGGTTGTTTGCCAGAAAAGTGGTTGAATGAGAGCAATATGACTCTCATAATGGAGTGATAAGATTGACGCTATTTCTTTAATGTTCTAGATTATTCTATCCTGTCTTAAGTAGAAGATTCTAGGATATTTGTATTAAATGAGAATGCTCTAAAATATTTAAATAGGAAGAATCTAAAGCATGTTTTTCTAAGAAAAATTGTAAGAGCTTAGAAGATTTTAGATTTAGTCTCTCATGCTTATAAATAGACATAACTTGTTGTTCTCTTATAAGCAGGAAACTACTCATCAAAGTTTAGTGATAAAATTCTCTCTTTCTTCAACCATTTCCAACAATCCAAATCTCCCTCTTCTCTCAAAAAATTCCAACAATTGGCATCAAAACTTTGTTTGATTATTCATTGAGCATAAGTTGTATATACTGCAGCCTATTTACTAAACAGATGTCCAACTACAACTGTGAAAGATAAGACACCAAGTGAAGTTTGGAATGGAAGAAAGTCTTCTGTAAAACATCTAAGGGTATTCGGTTGTATTTGATATGTTCAAATTCCATAAGGAAAAAAAGAATTAAATTGGATGAAAAGACAAAAAAAAGAATTTTCTTAGGCTATAGTATTGAATCTAAAGAATATCGAGTCTATAGCTTAAGAAAAAGGAAGCTTATCATTGGTAGAGATGTTAAATTTGATGAAGATGCTACATACAATTGGGAGACAGAAAATGTTGAAAAAAGAAGTGTCAATTTGACACCAATAACACATAATTAAGCTGAATAAGTCAATAATCAACCAATATCATCAACAAAAAAACTTGTGCAAGAGCCAAATCAAGATGCAGACTCTTCTCCAGAATCATCACATAGAAGAAAAAAATCTCTAGCAGAAATCTATGAACATTGTAACATGAAAATCATGGATTTAGAAAGCTTTGAAGAAGCCACAAAGCAAGAAGTGTGAAGAAAATCTATGAAAGAAGAAATAAATATGATCTAGAAAAATAAGAGATGAGATCTAGAAGACTCTTCACAAGAAAAAGAGGTAATTGGAGTCAACTGGGTCTACAAGATAAAACTCAATCCTTAAAGCAAGACTAGTTGCTAAGGGAAACTCACAATAATTTGGATTTAACTATAATGAGACATTTGCTCCAATTGCTCGACATGATACAATAAGATCCTTAGTTGCACTTGTAGCACAGATTAAGTGGAAGATCTATCAATAAGATGTCAAATATGCATTTCTAAATGGCTGCCTGGAAGAAGAGATCTATGTGGAACAACCTCTAGGGTTTGTAGTACAAGGTCAAGAAGATAAAATTCTCAAGTTAAGGAAAGTTTTGTATGGATTTTAGCAAGCCTCAAGAGCTTAATATAGTCGAATTTTCAACTACTTCATAGAGCAAGACAACAAGAGCAACAAAATTGAGCTAACATTATTTATCAAGACTCAAGTTATGAACTACACTCTCATTTTCTCCCTATATGTGAATGATATTATCTATGCAAGAAATAATGAGAAGTTGATCAATGATTTTAATGAATACATTATGAACACATTTCAGATGACCGACTTAGGCCTGATGCATTATTTATTCAAAGTCCAAGCTAAGTTCATCATGGAGCGGCGACGAGAGTTCTTAGATATCTACAAGGAATGGGGAATTAAGGTGTCTAGTATGAATTCATTTCTAACTCAAGGCTAATTATATATACTGACAATGATTGGGTTGGATCATTGGATGACACGAAGAGAACCTCGGGATATGCGTTCACACCAGGTTTAAGAATATTATCTTGGGCATCAAAGAAATAAGCAATTGTTGCACAATCATCAGCCGGAGCAGAATATATTGCAGCTGCCACAACTACAAACCAAGCTATATGGATAAAATACATACTAGAAGATATGGGCGAGCCACAAAAAGAAACTATAGAAATCTATTATGACAGAAAATCAGCTATAACAATGACAAAAACTTTTGTTTTTCATGGCAAAACTAAACATATTGGTATCAAATATCATTTAGGAAAATCAAGAAATTAAACTCAAGAACTACGAGACTGAAGAACAACTACCACACATATTCATAAAGACACTTCAAAATGAAAGTTTAAATCGATACACAATGTAATTGGCATAATCAAAATTCACATCAAGGAGGAGTGATAAGATTGCTGCTATTTCTCTAATGTTCTAGATTATTTTATCTAGTCTTAAGTAGAAAATTCTATGATATTTGTATTAAATGTAAATACTCTAGAATATTTAAATAGGAAGAATCTAGAAAATATTTTTCTAGAAAGAATTGTAAGAGTTTAGAAGATTTCAGATTTAGTTTCTCATGCCTATAAATAAGCATAATTTGTTATTGTCATGTAAGCTGAAAACTACTTAACAAACCTTAGTAATAAAATTTTTCTTCTTCTCTTCAACCATTTCCAACAATCCAAATCTGCCTATTCTCTCCAAAAATTTCCAACACGGAGATATTAGCGAAGGTTTTGACAGGGATCCCACCAGAAAAATTATGAGCCGAGAGATTAATTTTCTGTAGGGAAGAACCGTACGCAAGGTCACCGGAAAGAGATGCAGTGAGATGGTTCGACAATAGGTTGAGGATGGTGAGTCGATCGGTGCCGCTCCTTGTGTGATGGAGAAGGGAAGGCAGGTTGAGAGATGACCGGCTTGCTGGCGGGACAATGGAGATCTCTCTTCACTTGATTTATCTAAAAAACAAATTTAATGAGTTGTTAAGAGATTCTTGCAAATCTATGAGGTATGAGATGGGGTTTCGTGGAGATCGTTGACAATGAGGAATAAATGGTCTTACGTGTTGTTACAAATAGTATCTCTCTGAAGAGTTTCTCCTTGATGGTACTTCTGTTCTTATTGATGTCACGATCCACGCTCATTGCACCTTTTAGGATGTTCAAACCAAATATGTTCGATCATGTCGTAGGAATAAAGCTTTGGGATTTAGGAAGAGAAAGAGAGAGAGAGAGGGGAAGCGAAAGAGAGGGACACGTCCCAAAACCACTCGTCGTTCGCAAACCGCTCGTGCTTGGCTAGTTAAGAAGTTCTTGTTTGATTCGTTCCCTAAGTTAAGGAGCGAAACTCAAACACGTTTTTTTTTTTTTTTTTTTTATATAAACGAGCCGAACACGAACAAAAATTTGTTAGTTCGTGTGTGTGTTTACAAACATACATACATACATACATACACACACATATATATATATATACATACATACACACACACACACACACATATATATATATATATATAGTATTTAAAAAAAAAATTATTGACCACAAGACTACAAAGATTATATTCAATTAAAATTATTACTTAAAAAATAGAATAAAAATATATCAAATTATCTTTAAATTGTGTTTTAATATAAATAATAAGATGGAAATTTTGCCCCAACTCTCAACATCCTACGACTGTGTGATTTGAGTTGTCAAAAGAACTCTTTGTTTACGAATAGCTCGTGTTCGGCTCGCTAAGCAAACGAGCTTAACATGAACACACTTTTTTCTGTTCGAAATATAAACGAGTTGAACACTAAGAAAACGAGTCGAACAAGAACACACTTTTTTTGTTCGAAATATAAACGGCCGAACACGAACAGTGATATCTTTTAACTAGTCGAACATGAGCTGAGCCTAGACTCGCTCGTGTTTGGCTGGTTTACACCCATATTCACAAGGCTTTTAAACTCATTTTATTCCATAAATATAGCTGTGGCAAGAGAGGAGAACAAAAAATCCTTTCTATATAAAAATGCTCCTATTTATAGATGGTATGAGCACAAAAAGTAGAATTACATTATCACCTTTGTTAAAGAGGGGGAAATAAATGTTATTTTTGAGTATTTTATCTATCAAGTTTTATTGCTTGCCAAGCTGTGGTCGCCAGGTTACAACCGCCAGGTTGCCAGTCTCCAGGTTGTCATCGCTCGGCTACAGGTCGCGAGGCTGCGATGGCCAGTCAGCTTGTTGTCAGGCTGTCGTGTCCAGGTTTTTTTATGCTCCGGGGTTCGTGCAAACCATTTTTTAATGTACAATACATTATGTAATTTTTTTTTACATAATTGGCAAGTAATAAACATGATTAAAAACATGTAATTAAAACAAACATTACAAATAAAGTGAATTGCAAAATGAGTTCTAATGTATTATTATTTAATCTGTATTTTTAGTTTTATCCAAAATTTTAATTCTCAAACAGATTCAAAAAAACAAAAGTCAAATGCTTTTCTAATCAAAATTAATCTTCAAACTGTTAATTTTAAAATCAAACAAAACCATCCCACAAAAATTTAACTTGATTTTAATTAGTTGAAATCAAATCATACACACTCCTAATTATATCATTATTTTAACTTTTAAGACACAAAATACATCTGATATATATAAATAAATTAAAATTTTGTTGTTTCATAGAGTGATATATATTTATGAACGTTGCATTAAATCCCAAAAAACATTTAAAAAAATTAAAAATTATTCTAATCAAAATAATATGGATAATTTGACATAAAAATTTCCTCACATTGAAATAACTAATTAAAATCCAAAAAACCAAAAAAAAAAAAAAAAAAAAAAGAACAAGAGGAAAATGACTCAATGCCAGGCAGATGCGACAGTGATAATGCGGCCCATCCACCCGCACCCGACCCGCCCATCCTCTTCCTTTAGCATAAACCCCGGTTTATTCACGGGCGAAGCAAGCCGGAGACTAACGTTCTCCACCACCTCCGGCCCAAGCTGAACCGGTTTGAACCCCGCCATTCCCAAACGTGCCTTCCACTTCCCGTACACTTCGGGTCGCTCAACCCGCTGCGCTCCCTCCCAGACCACCGAGTTACAAGACTTCCGGGCCAGACCGGCCTCAATCCGGGCCCGCTCGTTACTCGCCCTGCTCGCCATGACCGCCTCCATCGACTCCAACAACGCGCCGTAATGCGCGCAAGCCTCCGCGAATCTAGCGGCGAACGGCGAAGTGTTGCCGTTCATCTCCTGCTCCACTAAAGTGACCACCTTTGGCCCGAGAGCCTTCACTCGCCGAAGAAGTTCGTCGCGAGGGTTCGCCGGAGAGACGCTCTCGTCCGCAATGCGGGAAAGAAGAAAGGCAAAGTTGACCGCGAGGGCTTCCTCTGCTTTGCAGTCCAACGCAGCGCGATCGAGCTCAGTGGTTCTGCGGTTCACAATGCTGAACCTGAGCCCGATACATAATTCCTCCGCGAGCTTCGCAAGCCGGTTCCCCACGAGGTTCAGATTGCCGGCGAGGGAGTTGAAGCGGAAAGTTGGATCGCAAAAAGCTGTGATTTTTACGGAGGGATGGAGTTTGCGCTCTGCGAGGGAGTGGAGGAAGGAGGCCAACTGCAAACCTTGACCGATGTCGAAATCAACGATGTGGATCATGGATTGGTCTTTGGTTGCGTCAAGAATGGCTAGATTAGCCGCCATTAGTGCTAGTTTGAAACAAGGGGAGGATTCATAGAGCATTTGGGAAGATGTCAGGTGCTCTGATGTGAAGATATCCGATATTTTGGAGACTGGCGCCAGAGCTCGGGGGTTTATGCGCGCAGCTAGAGCGTCCACCATCATTGCGGTGAGCCTCTGCTCTGGATTTCCATGTTTGTTCGCCGCGCCTTTCAAAACGTAGAGATTTGCGCAGTGTCCAGATTTCCTTCTGAAATAGCTCTGGCTGTGTCGAGGAGCATTTGTCTTGAGGAAGCGGTCGAAGAGGCCGAAAACGATGAAGACGACGAGTTCGGAGAATATTCCAGAGGTTTTTGCGACAAGATGAGATTCTTCATCGTCTCGCTCCACTCACTGTTCGTCACAGCAGAGCCATCAGAAACGCTCAACACGTCATCCTCGTCATCAAGGAGCTGCCTTTCAAGTTGCAGAAGCCGATTCGTGATCGTAGATTTCTTTTCCAGCTCGGCCGAGCCTGGCGCAGGAAACGACTGATATGAGAACTTTTGATTCCCCTGACGCAAAAGCGGAATAGTGGCGGACGACAGAGATGACTGAATCGAAGAGGTGGGTGAAAGAGATGAAATTGGCGACTGAAGTTGTTTCTTCTGCTTTACTGACCGAACAAAGACAACGCTTTGCGCCTCATTCTCCATCGTGATGAGTGACCTCTTCAAGAACCCGCCTGTCAATTCACCCCCGAACCTTAAAGCTCCCCGGATATCATCACGCCCTGGGAACCCAGACGCCATGGCGGCCACTCAGAGCGCAAGGCGGGACCTTTCGCCTGCAAATTGCTCACAGTGGCGACAACAGCAGCTTTCTCTGCAGCTACAAACCTGAGAAAGCTCAACCCGCTAATAAAGGCGTATCCTTTTTCCATCTTTCCTTTTATTTAATACATTGAATTGCTGCCTCCATCAGCCGTCCTTTGTTAATGAAATAATTAATTGAAAACATGAATGGAGTATGTGTAGAAATGATGCCGAGAGATGAGACCTTAAGATTTTATCGTTTCGTCGTCAATGAGGGAAACCGGTGGTTGCCGGTGAGAAGCTCTACCTCCACCTGGCAGTTCGCAGAATCCGGCACCATTTTCAGGGTTGCAGAATTTAGAAAGAAAGGCGACGTTGGCAATTTGCCACTAGTGCTTCAAGGTCAAGCTCAAACCCTTTCCTTTTCTTAAAGAATGGTAGGCTTAAAAAATACGACTATGGGACCTTATATGCATTATTTTTTTTTTAGCTAAAATAAAAATAGTTAGTGCACTGATTTTTTTTTGGCTAATTTGTTCCTCATAATCTCGAAACCTTTTGCTATGCTGAACTGGATAAATGTCTCAAAGGCATGATCTTTTTAGATAAAATTGGTCTCACATATCTAAGATCTTACTGGTTTTTTTTTTCTTATGCTTATGCATGGGCGGTTGGTTGGGCTGTTTTCTTTTTTCTGGTTGTGGCTTGTTTTGATTGGCGACTTTAAGTGCATGTTTCTTATGTTATTACTACTGCTGGCTGCATTTAGATTCTATGCTTATGGTTATCTAGTTTTTATCTTGTTTTACTTCTTTTATTTTCTTTTTTTGCTGGCTGGTTTTGTTCTGCTTGCAGGATAACACCGCTGTCATGTATTTGATAGCCTTTCTTGCATTTGTTGTCTTATTAATTACCTACGGGTGTTGTATTGGCTTGTCAGCTATGTGGTGGTGTGTCTCGCTATTATGTTGTCACTTGCTGGCTTTCCTGAGTTGGTACGATTTTTTGTTGTTTTGGTTCACCTTGGGTGATGTTGCTATGATTTTATTTGGTGCAGGTTCTCTCCTTCGTTTTCTTTTTCTGGGTTGTGGTCGTCGTTGCGCTCTTGCTCCTTGGTGCTAGTGGTTGTCTTGCTCTTTTAGCTATCGCCAGGTGTTCTTCTTTTATTTGTTGGCCTTCATTTGATTTCCTTGGGGCAGTTTTTTGCCCCATTTATTTGCAAAGTACTGTCCTAGGATACCTAATTGCTTCCTCTACATGTTTCTCCTTGTTAATGCTCTGGTTCTTCAAGTTAGTTCAGGTTTGATCTTCTTTTCTATATTTTTCTTCTTTCATTTTTGTTTCTGTTTAATTTTCTTCTTTCAAATCCTCTCTTCTCGCACCCTAATTTTCTCAGGTATATATTGTGTTTATTTGGTTTTGTTTGTTCTTGACTTTTTGCAGGTTACTATTGTTGCAAATATAGAAACAATCCACCAAATTGACATTTTCTCATATTTGACAGCAAATTAGATTTGATACTCGAAATTAATTACTCTTAATTCCTTTTATGATTTGCTACATAAGAGAAAATAAAATAATTAATGAGCTTCATTAATTATTTGATTAATTCCTTAATAGACCTAATGACATGATATAATTAATAAATAGACATGCTAGCTCCCCTTGTTATTCTTCTTCGGCATTGATAACTTTCCAGATTCTTCTTCTGATGTGCTTCAGTTTGAAGCTCTCGGGTAGAGAGAGAGAATAAGACGAGGAGAGGAGAGAGAAAGTGTTTTTTTTGTAATTGTCGAGGTGAGGTGATCGACAAGTGTTATTCCTCAAGCTAATAAAATCTTCTGCAGCTCCGTGGACGTAGGCAATTTGTCGAACCACGTAAATCTGTGTATTTCCGCTGTGCTTTTCTTTTTTGTGTTTTTATTGATCCAGTTTTTCGCTTTATTATCGTCATTTTTCACAACACCTGCTGATCTTTTTGTCGATGTATTTCTTTTTGGAGTTCCTTTGTGTGAATTGTATTCCTGGGGCTGGTTCCCCTAAATTTTCTCGTGTGTGTGTGTGTGTTGTATTCTGTGTATATCACCCAATTTCTATGTATTTACTGAACTTTGCTTTTTATATCAATACAATCCAAAATTTTAATATCACATACAAGTATCAATTATAATTTTTAAAATTTGAACGACGTATTTTCATGCAAGTAGTATGTATGTGAAAAATTGAAGCTTAGGCGTTAGATACTTAAATACATAAGAATTGTAAATATTACTTTTTAAATTATTCAGGTTGATGGTTGTACTCTTCATCTCATAATTTTTCTAAATTGAGAAGGCTAAAATTATTTATCAGTCATAGATGCTTAGAAGAAAGAAAAGGAAGTCCTAGAGCTTGCTTAAATAATGCCAAGAAACAATATTCTACCGCACGCATTTTATTGATATTTAATGATAATTTTTTATCACCGGGTGAATGTGCAAACTAATATTTTCATTGAATTTATTATATTGACAATATGATCTCCTGCCATTTGTGGCCCTGTAGCTATTTTTTCTTTATTTCTAAATATAATGTATGGAAGCCCCATCACCTGTGTTTCGAACATCGTGGTTAAACACGCAAAACATGTCCCAGAAGATACGTTCCATCGAAACTGGCTAGTGGCATGTGGCAAGTGCAAGTGCAAGTGGCAAGTGAATATATATTTTCTATTCCACAATCTTTTATTTGCATTTATGAGGGGTTCACATTTGACATGGTATTAATGCAAATTACAAATTCCTTCCCTCTCAGCATGAATTTGCGATCGAAGAAAAAAATCACTTTTACATGTTGATCGCGAGTCAATTTGAGCAGCTCCACGTATAGCACGAAATTGGCTTGAAAAAAAGTCGATCCAAAGTTTAGACTCATAACTTGTCTAGTTTATTTTGATCAGAGCTAAAATATGAATCAAAGTAGGCCGTCGCCGCGTACTTCCAACCATCGTCGCCTTCCGACCGTCGTCGCTTTTTGCCCGGTGACTTCTCAGACCGCCACCTTTTGACCGTTGGTGTTTCAGGCCATCACTGCCATCTCAGACTGCCATTGCCGCCCAGCTACCTACCAGGGGTAGGGTTGTAACGAGCTGAGCTTGAGCGAGCTCAGGCTGGGCTCGTTTTCGGCTCGTTCGAAATAGCTCGTGTTAGAAATCGGCTCGTGTTTGAAATTGGCTCGTGAAAAGTGTATTCGTGTTCGACTTGATTTAAATATTCGTGTTCGGCTCGAAATTGGCTTGGAAAAAATTAAATTGAAAAAAATAGATGTAAAGTCTAGGATTCGAACTTGAACCAAATATATAAAAAAGAAGACACTAATCACCACATGAGATGTTATAATTTAAACTTAGATATAAAAATATATAATATATTATTATATAAATAATATATGCTATATATTATTATATAAATAATTATATATTTTTTTAATTTCAAGCTAAAACGAGCCGAACACGAACACGTGTTCGACTCGTTTATAATTCGAGCTTTAAAAACTTGTTCTTGTTCGGCTCGTTTACTTAATGAACGAGCCGAACACGAGCTATTCGCGAACAACGAGCTTTTTTGACAGCCATAACCATGGGTTCATTGTGCTCAACTGTTGTATTCCGAGAAATTGTGTAACCCTTTCCCGTCTATGACAGAACTATACTTGTAATCATCAAACATTTCAACCAGGCAAGACCCAATAGTTTTTTTTTTTTGTTTTTTGGTATTTCACGTAAAAACTTGTGGTGTCGTCACTATTTTATTACTTCTATTTGAGTGTGTGCCGGATTTCCGTAGTACCCTAAGACGATACTATGTGTTTGACTTTAAGGGCGGGAGAAGTATAGATTTAGGGATTATTTATTTGGATGTATTAGGATTGTAGTGTAAAATAAATGGACGATTTTGACTTTTGAGGAGTTTGGCTGGAAAAATAAAACGAAAAACAGAGCAATTATATGCATGAGAAATTTGGGATACCGTCTATAAGTCTTTTTTGTTGTATCCAGAAATTTTCTAAAATAAACCAAATAAATCGTGTAATTGCGATCTCATTGAACCATCGTTGATGCCATGTCTATCGTTTGGTAGCATTGCCATGCTTGTAGTTTCCTTCCCAACATTTGCCATCCTCCTCGTTCCATAATATCGAAAATGGCAACTAAGGACATTAATGTTAAATTCAATTATTTATACTTAATGGGTTGTGACAATGTGTTCTGATACTTGTTAGTAGATAGTGGGGAACGATAACAATGATGGGTGCAAATATATGTAGTTGAATAGTGTATAATGGTGAATAAAGACAATGGTCATTATAAAGGAGGAGAGTTCAAATCGGTTAGCAAATGGTGTTGATTTATATCAATGGTAGGTGATGGCATTGGTCAATAGATAAGAGTTGGAGTCAGATTCAGGTGGTAGTAACGTAGAGCAACCACTCATGAAGATAGATGCTGTAACACAGTGACAAGCAGTGCATTGAAATTATCTAAGTATTTTTGAAATTAAATAGAAATATGTATAGAGAAATGTAAATTTACCGGCCCAATTTCAACTGCTCAATGGGTTAAAACATCTCGCTTTCAGAAATGAAACTAGCCAACAAACTTGTCTATGAAAAGCAGCCCAAAATCTTTCCTCCTCTGGGGTTTGATCTTTGTCCACTAATTGGCCTGGGCCTTAACTCCCGTTGGACTAGCTTTAAAAGCCATTTTCCCAGACTAAGGCTTCAGCCACTATTATTACGATCTGAAGGAGATGATTATATATAATTTCAAGAGCATAATTTTAAACTATATATTTTAAAATTTATTTTTCATCTTTTTTTTCTTAATTATTACAATCTTATTTTAGGTTATGAGCTCCTGATAAAAAATTAGACAAACAACCCTTAAATTAAAGCGAAAATTTTAAAATTTCCACAATATAGTGTATAACTTCTAGCCAGTTTCTTTTGTTTCCTCAAACTCGGTCTTGAGCTCTTCCATGGAAATCCCATCTGCCATGGAAGAAGAAAGAAGGGAACATATTCACTAACTGATGTAAAATAATTTATTTGTGAGAAATGCAATTTCTTTTTTCAGGTTAAATGAATGATTATAATTAGTTTACAGGTTATAGGGAGTTCCTCTTGGTGGATCAGGGCTAATCTATAGAACAAATAGTGAATCACTGTAATTTAATAAGTAATTCGTTCTTCGAGGAGGAGAAGCTGTGGGATGATTGAGATTTCATTGTATTGTCAATTCTTGGTTTCTGGTGTGGAGCCCCGAGGGCATTCATGGGACGGTGATGGTGTGGAATTTGATTCTTTAGTTGAAGCCTTCAGTCAGTTTTCTTTTAGTGATAAGCTTGGATGTTTCTTTATTTTGTTTTACTCCAATTTGTTCAGATTCAAATTGTTCAGAAATTCTTTTCGCCATCTCCTCACTTGGTTTTCGACTTTGGTATGAGAGGCTACATCTGATCAGATAAGTGAGCCTCCTTTATCATTATTCCTCACACTTTTAGATATGTTTCTTTGCCCTTATTTAAGTTTTTTCTTTTTTATTTTATTTTCTTTTATAATTTAGGAAACCTATATATATATATATAAAGTAATGTTGCTGTATAAATATATATTTATGCTATAATAATTATTTAATGATAGGTTACAACATTTAATTTCTATTCATTATAAAATTTTGGAAGATTTACATGTATACCGCTCCATCGTTATCTATTTTCATATCTAAAACCTAAATTTTAATTTTCGGAAACATACCGCCTCACTCGCGAATGAAAAGGTGAATTTCAGTTCTTAAAATTTAAAAAAAAAAAAAAAGCGGTGCTTTTGATGTGATGTGAAAAATTTGAGTGGTATAAATGTAAAAAATAAAGAATAGGCGTTGGATATGGAAAACATAAGATTGAGGGTCCGTTTAGGGGCAGCTTATAAGTGCGGGTGGCATTTTAACCGTTTGGTTCGCGAGTTTCACCAGCTTATCCGAAACTGTGTTTGAGTTTTTACACTAAACGCAGGCCGCGGGTCGACCCCTGCGGCCGGCCCAAGGGTCGCGTTTCAGAATAAGCAGTTTATCCTGAAACGTACAAGCTGCCCCAAACGAACCCTGAGTTATGTATGTAAATGCCACTAAAATTTTTTAAAATTATGATAGTGTTATTTTTATATTTCATTAAATTTTGTGAATTAGTTGTTATTAAATTTTAACATAATATGCTAAAATTATTATGATGCTGGTTATTTTTTGTGATCAATTTTGTAATAAAATATAAATAAATCATTAATATTTATCTCAAATCTGGATTAGCAATAGTGAGACTATGCAAAAATAAAAAAAAAATAGAGTGATTATTGCTGAAATTGATGATCCCCAAATATCATGTGCAGTAGAAATACTTACGGAGAAAATGTGGCCAAATATTTCTTACAAAAAATTGATTAGGATATGATTATTAGTATTTATTTTGAGATTAGTTTAAAACATGACTAATCAATCAATTTTACGATAGATTGTTTAGCAATAGTATCAATTGTATCAATGAAGAATTGATACTATTTCAGTTCTTACAAAAAATTGAATAGATTAGTTTAGCAATAGTATCAATTTTATCAATTATATTCCAACTTGATTGAATTTGGACCCAGTTCTTTGACCCAAAACTTTTTCTATTATTTATTATGTAAATTAATCTAATCATTTGGATTATTAGGCAATGTGATTTAGCAGATTTTCCCATCAATGAAGAAAAACCCTTAAAATTATAATAAAAAAATTAGGAGTTTTTAAATACTTGAAAAAATTGATAGGGATTGATCTGAGAGTGGTGGGGCTGTGAACCGTGTCTTGGGAGTGGTTGCAACAATCTGCAAAAGCTTGTTTGAGGCATAACAAGATATTCAGTTCCGACGTCTGCACGTCTGGACGATCAATCACCGGCGGCCATGTTGCCCGCCGAAAAGGTGTATGGCGACGAGATCGCCGGTGGTTTCCCGTCGAGACATGCGGTGTCCGGACGTAATATTTTCTCTTGAGACAACTGATATCCCGACGATGTTGATGGAATTAAGGAGTTTCTAAGAGTGTTATAGTTGCGCTATTAACACATTCCGGGTACTTTATATGTAAATATTAAATTTTAGGTGTCACATATATAAATCATATTATTTTAGGTGCTATATATATATATATATAGTGTTGTGTGCCTTCAGTTGTAGCTTGTTGGTAGAGCAGTCTCTTTGAAGATCGTAAGTTCCCCCAGGTCACGGGTTCGAATTCTCCTCTGGCCAATTTGCCAGTAATAAGGGCGGTTCTTGAATAGTTAGACACATGAGGGTGGTTGACGGTTATATATATATATATATATATATAAACCACAAAAATTATAATTTCTTAAGATTAAAAAATAAGTCATAAATAATAGAGAAATGTTATACCTCAATAATAATAATAATAATAAATGAAAACTCTTATCACATCATTATTAGCTTAGCTAGACAATTAAAAAACCCTTGTAAGTAGAATTGTATGTTAGTCTCCTTATTTTAAGAAGGTCGCATAAGAAAGTAGGACTAAATAAGTATTGATTCAATAATTTAATATTGGGGGGCAAAGTGATAAGATTTATAATGCATACCAGACGTGTATAAAAATGCACACATTTGTGTATCTCATGCAACTATATTCTAAGAGTGTATTTTAGCACCCTCGCAAATACTTATGGCACGAAAGTCAAATGTATGGTACGTCCTTGAAATTTTCATAGGAATTATTGTATAAGATCTAGTAGCTTCCTTTATCAAATATGATTTATTTACGTTCAACCAGTGTTATGGGACGCGTATGAGGGATTTTATACTTATGAGCGGCTCTCATTTGTCAAAGCATACTTCAACAGATGTCGTGGGCCTAGAAGGCCGAAGAATTTCTTTTACTATCAAGCCCAGTCCAATCGTTAAGGCACAATTGGAGGTTTTAGATCATCAACTGAATGTTCAAATAAATTTAAAATTTGATATATTTATAGACCAATAAAGCCCAACCTCACTTAAAGACTTCTTGTAATTATTATTATTATTCTATGGTCAAATCAAATGTCTTGATGAGGAAATCAAACGATCCCACAATCACTAAATTTAAAGGTCATTAAGTTCCCAATCCTTAAAAACTATCTAAGATCAATGAGGAACAATATAGATCGTCTGATCAGGTGATTAGTAAAGTTACACACCAAAAGACCAAAATGGCTATAACGAAAAGATACAAATATGTCCCCCCTCTTCACTTGAGTGGAGGTGTAGAAAAGAAGTGACCATCAACCTCCGTAGCTAGAAACCACTACCGTCGACTATCGCTGACCACTGCCGACAACCACCATTTGCCGTCAGCGACCATTGCTGGCCGACAAGCACTGCTTACAACCGCTGTTGTGAAAATATTGCTATTGTGTATAACACAATTATTTATTTATTTATTTTTGTGGTGTATAAAATCTAGTGTAAATTTAATTGTAACATTGTAACCTCATTTCTCTCGGTCATGAGAACATGATGCTTTCTACATTTACAAACACATATCACTAGGTCACGTGTTTTTTTTCCCTTCCATGGTTTTTTCATGTAAAGAATTATGTTTCCTTCAATAAACTTTTTTTTTTTATCTGTGTGTGTTGAATCTTTACGCAATGCTAATATTGAATCTTTTTTTGGGACATAATTTCCTGTATTGCTCGCAATCCCACACAATCTCGTGTAGATCCTGAATGTCTCTTATATCAAGAGAAAGACATGAGAAAAACTGAGAAGAAGAGAGACAAATCACCCTTTTACCTCGTAGAGGAGAGACCCCTCCCTCTTATATATGAGAGATCTTTGCCCCTCAAGGGTTGAGTACATTAGTCCCCCTCTCTCCCTGAGCACGGGAAGATTTTAATGATGACAAGACCTTTGCCCGGTGCGTTATTTAATGCAGCGATGTGATGAGCATCTTTTGTGTCGGGCAACAGATTGATTGTAATCTCCTGTTGGATCAGACTAGTTCAGATGATCGGGCCAATTGGTAAGCAGATATGACGGAAAATATTTTATTAAAGAATGATTCAGTTCAACCTATTCGAGTGAACGTCAGTTTGATTACATTAAGTAAACGGGCATGATATATACAACTAAAATATTAAATTATCACTATACACTATTAATTACAAACAACAAAAGTTTTTTTATTAATCTAAAAGATTCTTTGATTTCCATTATTATGATTAAACTTAAATCCTCATAACATATAAATTTTAAAATACACGTGGATAATATGTCGGTGAAATTATGCATTAAAAACAGTTAAAGTAACCTGGCCCAATTTTACCCAACAGAAGCAAATATATTCCGCGAAACCGAAACGAAGTCTTGGGGTAGAAGGGGGTTTCCAACCGAAGTCTCTCTGATCTCTTCCGCTTATAGCAGAAACCCCTTACTGTTCTTAGTCCTTAAAAATCCCGTCCAGCAGCCCAAGATCCTACAACAAGATCGAGGAGCTCAACAATTTCTTGGCGATGGATTCTCTACCGGCGGAGAACCCCTCGCCGTCACCATACTCCTCGAAGCCCGACCGCTCCTCGCCGCCGGCGAGATCCGGTCCCCTTTTCTACACGCCTCCGCGTTACAACCAGTTTTCATCCTCTTCGCCATCTCCCTCCCCTCGCGTCATCTACAGCGATCGATTCATCCCTAGCCGCCTTGGTTCCAATTTCCATCTCTTCAATGTAGATTCCCCTCCTATGACTGGCGGGAAGGAGGAAGGCTCCGGAGCCTATGCGGCGATTCTACGGACGGTCTTATTTGGTCCGGATCACGGCATCGTGCCACCGGAGACGCCTGATAGGTCTTGGTCCGGGAGGGTCGGGTACTCATCTTCCCCTTCCTCAGTTTCATCTAGTCCAAGCAAGAATATATTTAGATTTAAGGCTGAAGTGCCGAGATACTCTATTTCTCCTATGGGGGTCGACGATCTACTCCCCGGAGTTTCCCCTACTCAGCCTATGGCGGCTAGGAAGGTCTCTAGGTCACCTTCTAAGGTGAGTTCTGCTACTAATTGTGGATTGAATCTGACATAATTCGTTTCTGATGGAACTGTGGGGTTTGTTTTGGGGTTTAGGTTTTAGATGCGCCGGCGCTGCAGGATGATTTCTATCTTAACCTAGTTGATTGGTCTTCGAGCAACATGTTGGCTGTGGGACTGGGGAATTGCGTTTATCTTTGGAATGCTTCCAGTAGCAAGGTTGGATCTTGGTCTGATTTTGTTTTTGAATTGTGCTGAATTTTTCGTAGTATAATGATGGTTATTTGTAGGTGACAAAACTCTGTGATTTGGGCGTTGATGATGCTGTTTGTTCTGTGGGTTGGGCACGGCAAGGCAGCCACTTAGCTGTTGGAACTAGCCAGGGGATAGTGCAGGTTAGTTCTCTGCTCTTTTTAATGGTTTTTTACTTGTTATATCTTGGGTTAGGAAGATTGCTTGCTTTCTTAAGGATTTTAAGATTTGCATAAGTAGACAGCAGGTTCTTCTTGAAAAGATATGTAATTCTTGATGTTTAATCTTACTAAAGTGGAAACAAGTTAAGGACTTGTACTTTTTACTCTCATGAATCCCTTTTTGAGGAAGCCAACTAAAAATTCGATGAATTAGTGCTCTCCGTAGTTTATGAAATTGGAATTTATCTGATTGGAGAAGGATGTCTTATGTTTCTAGATATGGGATGCATCACGCTGCAAGAAGATAAGGATCATGGAAGGCCATAGATTGAGGGTTGGAGCTCTAGCATGGAGTTCATCTTGTCTATCTTCTGGGAGTCGGGATAAGAACATTTTTCAGCGTGATATACGTGTGCAACAAGATTATGTCAGTAAACTTTCAGCTCATAAGTCTGAGGTATAAATGCTAAATCTTGAATATTATTCTATTGTATATTTTTGCATTTGATTATTTATTACAGGGTATAATATTGATTTGGTTTTATTGTTCTTGCAAAAATGCTGATTTTTTTTCTTCTTATATATCTACTAAACAATTTCTCCAGCTTTTTCTTTCTTAATTTTTTTTCTTTTTTTGGTCTCAATGTCTCTTATATTTTGATTCAGTTGCTTCACATTAATAGGTTTGTGGGCTGAAGTGGTCCTATGATAATCGTCAACTTGCATCAGGTGGAAATGATAATAAAGTGAGTCCCATTACCTATCTTTTTGAGGTTGATTTTTATTTATATAAATCTAAATGCATCTGTTTTCCAGCTTTTTGTTTGGAATATGAATTCAACTCAGCCTGTACATAAGTACTGTGAACACACTGCTGCGGTAAAAGCTATTGCTTGGTCTCCACATGTTCATGGCTTACTAGCATCTGGTGGTGGAACCACTGATAGATGTATCCGGTTTTGGAACACCACGACCAATTCTCATCTCAGCTGCATGGACACAGGAAGTCAGGTATTGAGATCATGATTTGAGCTTATGAGCTACCAAACCGTGAAATTTGATCTTTTTCTTACTATTGTATCATTGATTTCTCTCTTAGTTTGTTGGGCGGCCTCTTTCTTGACTATCATGATGTTCAGGTTTTATTAATGGATTAAAGCAAAATTTGGATATAACTTCTGTTATGTTATACCCCCATTTTCCAAAAAGAAAAGAACTATTATATTGATATTATGTTTTTAATTTATGCAGTCCTCATTATGCAGGTCTGTAATCTTGTATGGTCGAAGAATGTTAATGAACTTGTTAGCACTCATGGCTATTCCCAAAATCAAATAATTGTATGGCGATATCCATCGATGTTGAAGGCAAGTAAAGTCAGAGTCTATCTGTGAATTGTGTTCGAGTATGCAATTTTTGTTTTTTTGGAAGGTTTACATACATACCACTCAATTCTTATGTATTTATATATCTAACATATAAACTTCAATTTTTACATACATGCCACCTTACCTACGCATGAAATGGAGTATTTGCTTCCCAAAAGCTACAATATTAATATTTTAATGTCAGATGAAAGATTTGGATGTTCTAAATGTAAAAAGCAAATTTTAGTTGTTTGATGTGTAAATACATAAGAAACGTTTGGTTTGTATGTAAATGCCCTTCTTCTTTCTCCTCTTATTATTTTCATACTCATTTACAGGTTGCTACACTCACAGGCCATACGTTTAGAGTTCTTTATTTGGCCATGTCTCCTGATGGGCAGGTTTGATAAGCTCCTTTGCTCTCTCTCTCTTCATTTACTGGGTCTATGTGCCAGTTTTAGTCCATTTATTACATTCCTAATTTCTGCAGACAATTGTCACCGGAGCAGGAGATGAAACGCTCAGGTTCTGGAATGTTTTCCCCTCTCCGAAGTATCAGGTTGGTGGTGTTGTTGCAACTTTGTTTGCTGATACATAAATGATTCTGTACCATATAAATTACCAAACAAGGAGTTTCATTCTTTCATAACTTCTGTTTTATCTCAGAGCACTGAGAACAAGATTGGAGCTTTCTCCCTTGGCAGGAGCGAGATAAGATGACAATTGGAATCTCATGTTCAAACTCTATAAAGAAATAGTTATCAAATAAAACAATCGATTCTATTTTATCGGCTGGAAGGCGAAGCCTTTGTTTATCATTGTTTTGCTGGCTATCCTCATGTTTATTCTGGAGCTGATTGATTCACAGAAGAGTTAAAGCTAGTTTGTTCCAGCATCTGTCCTTTACTGGCTCTGATTACAAGTTTTGGGATGCCGGCTTAGTTGATCAATGATTGTTGATAAGAAATGGATGGCAGGTGGGTTGTCACAATCCTCTGTATTAATAAAGGAAATTGTCATTATTTTCTTCTACCAATTATCAATTATATTTTGCATAGCTGTATTATTTTGGTTTTTATCCATATTCATAATTTATATTTCTTTTTTTTTTATTGTGATTTGGGGATGATGTTAGGGATGAGCTGTTATTATTTGTAAGAGAAGATTGAATTTGAGGCATATTACAGATATCTTATTTTGGCTCATGCGGTTCATTATTCTGTTAATTACTATTTTTTTCTTTTTATACAGTTCTTATGCATTTACATATCTAATAGCTAAACTTTGATATTTGTTTTTATAACATTTTGATGTTAAAATTTATGCTTGAAAAGGTTTATTTTGCAATTGAAAAGTTAGTAATAACGATATTTTTAGTTAAATGTCAAATATTTGAGTGATATATATATAAACCCTATGTAAGTTAATTCCCCTTTTTATGCTTGAAGTTCTGTTAACTGCCTTAATAAGCGTAAATGATGTGTGGGGCCTTCAGGTAGAGTATTTAACTATTATGAAAGAGACATTTATAAATTTTTCTGGTCTTTTGAAAAAATTGTTGGTTTTTAACTATTCTGCTTTAGTTTGTGAAACTCATTTTAATTTGATGTTTGTGGACACCGATATGGTGTTCAAATCCAATGCAGCATTCTTTGTGTGAGAAGTGAATAATTACTGGTTAGGATATCTTCTGATGGTTAAGTATAATTTAGATAGAAGATTTACGTTTATCTATACATATGTAAGAATTGCGTGGTATGTATGTAAATACCCCAATGTAAGAAAATTGTAGCTGCATAGATCATCATTTGCGAGTGTCCGCCACAGATTATTTCAATTATGTTGAAAAAAATGGATAAATTGTGACTAACATAAAATTTATGTAGAATTTAGGGACTTAAAGCTTGATGGTTAGTTGAAAATTAATTATAAGAAAATTATGAGACTGTGACATCATTTACACGCACATATACATACATATTATTCGTCATTAATAAATTTCTGTGACATAATTCTTGAGATATGAAAAAAATTTTGAAGAATTTTTTTAAATAAGAAAGTTTCGATTAAAAATTATTAAAAACTCCGGTTTTAGCAAATTTATAATCAAACTGAACGGTTCGACGAATTGGACGAATACCAAAATTGGTGCAATTTAGTCAAATCAAACCCAGGTCAAGTCGTCAAACAACATTTGAAAACTTTCAATGCATAATTGAAAGGTCAATCTAATTCCAGTACTAATTTGCTTATGGTCAAATAGAGCATCCCGACAAAACCAATTCAACGAGCTTAAAATCACTCAAATTTGACATTATTAAGGGGCTTAAATGTCCACATAACAGTATCATATAAAGGGAACATCCTCAGGACGTACAATCATGGTGGTATATATTCTTTCATTATTTGTAATATGGGCTCTATAAATTAGGGGTGTCAAAAATTGAACTAACATGCCAACACGACTAACTCTACTTGCAAAATTTGGGTTTGGGTTGACCCGAATATTTTTCGGGTTATGGTTGAATTTTTCGACCAGTTTATTATTTGAGTAAGGTTAGGGTTGACCCAATTTGGGTCTGGTTATTTTCGGGTTGGACCCATAGCCGACCCGTTGACCTTGATTGACATCCCTAGGAGTCAAAAATTGACCCAACACACCAACACGACTCAAACTCGACTCAAAAAATTCTAGTTAGGGTTGACCCAAATATTTTTCAGGTATGGTTCAGTTTGAGTTATTCAACATATTTATTATTCAGGTCGGGTTCAGGTTAACCCGAATCGGGTCGGGCATTTTCGAGTTGGATCCAAACTCGACCCGCTGATCCGAATTGACATCCATACTATAAATAGAGCCCTAATCTCCCTGAGCCTGAAGAAGATCGGTGTTTTGAAAAGGAGCTGAAGCCCAATATTGCTTTCACACCGAAGATCTGGCGAAGTGCTCCCTCTCTTGCAGCCATCGACCATCGTCGACCAGTATCCGTTGCCCATCATCGACCACTATCCTTTGCCGGTTACTCCTTGCGGAAAAATCCCTTGCAGAATCAAAATGTGCGCTGTGCAATCCCAACAATCGTTGCGAACCGGCAAAGTATCTGATGGAGCAGTGCGTCACCCAGTACTTTGCGCAACAATACACCTCAACGATAGTGTATTAATTCCTTGAATATTAGTGTATTAGTTCCACTGATTCTTCCCAACTACAACCACTCCCGACCATTATACAATGAACATTGTACCTTAAAGAACTGTATAGTCCTTTCTAGCATATTGGAGATAGATCTGTACGTGTAATCACAAATTTATAATAGATCGTTCTTACTCAGTTTTGCCCCATTACTTTTGCCCTTTCCGAATTTTTCATATAAAAATTTATGATATCTCTGCTCTTTATAAGTTCTTATGTGTGTGATAGATTCTCGTACAACGATAAGACGATAACTAATACTTCACAATTCTCTCACAAGCATCAATATATATATATATATTTGGGACCGATTGGATCGCGTTAATATATGGTCACATTTAGCCAAGTTTATAATCATATTAAACAATATTGAGCGATTTTAAGTCAACATCTTCACTTCAGACATTTAAGAGCCCCTACTATCGCGCCATAATTGATGCTGCCTTGGCTAAACAACGCTACCACTACCCAGCCAGACTGCATCCCAAGGCAAAATGAGATTTCTCATCTAGTTCTGTGACAAATGCCTAGAGCTGCATGCGACACATGTAACTGATCTGATTTTTTTATTCATTCTTATTAATAAATTCTCGTGATATTAACATATTAGCCCATTTTTTTATATTTGTTTATATGAAATTGGCATAACATCGTTTCGGCACCACAACACAAATTCCAGTGCAATTAAGGTTTATGGTAATAATTTTGTTTTGAAAATTTGAAGGATTTTTTGCCATTGAAATTCAGCAAATTCTTAAATGATTCATATTTCTGCAGAATTGCTGTCCCTTCATTCTTTCGTTACGCTGCAGCATCACATTTCATGAAGCCCAAACAAGTAAGAAAAAATGTACGATAGATTATTCATTAATGGAATGCATGCATTAATGCCTCTTTTTACTATTATTTCTCTTATCACTGATCTATGTTGATACTAACACAGTAATGCAAGAAACTACAGGGGAAGAAAAATATTAATTTGTACTAGAAGCAAAAAACATCTAATGGCCATCCTAAATATATTATAAACCAATTAACTATTTATTTCAGTTATATATGTAGAGCTATATAGTCAAAACCCTCCGTATCTAGTTAAATTCATGTTGTGTTTTAGGCGGTCGATTCAGTGAAACAGCTTGACCAAATAGTTTCGTCAGCCAACCGACCGTTTGATAGGCTAATTTGATCAATCATCCACAATAGATGCTATGAGAAGTTTATACAATATGTCAGATAGAATTCTTCAACTCACTCATGGACTGAATAGGCTAATAAAATGAGTATGCCAAATATTTGGGCATTTTGTTTTGTACCTTTATGACGTATTTTGTTTAATGACGTATTTTGTTTAATTTTTTTTTTTTTATGCAGCGTTGTAAGTATCATATTTCAGGTCAACCCAACTTATAGATAGAGATGATCAATGTGGGGTAGTTGTGAGAAATCTGGAGGTTTTGGGGCTTGTTTCCTTAATCCCGCCTTTGACATTAATAATACCCCAAGATACTGTTCTTCTTATTTCTGATTCTCATTCTATTTTGTGGTTCTTTGCTCGTCACGTAGCTCTTTCTTAGGTGATACTTGCTCATGTATATTTTAGGATAGCTCCCTTACCTAACAAAAAAAGTGTCCCTCTTACCTTACCACCCTCAATCTAAGGTATGTACCACATCAAATGAAAGGTTTTCAATACCAAATGTCATGTATATGAAAAGATAACTCACTTATATAAAACAAGAATGAGAGAACCTCAAGTTTAACTTATATGAAAAAAAAAGTAGAGCTCAATTTCAAATATCACTTAACTCCAAAGCAATCATCGACTCTCAAATTATTGATTACAAGGATGTCAATCAACAAAGGGTTAAAATTAAACATGTCATAACCCATGTTAGTAGTCTTAACACCATAGTAAAAAAATAAGAACCAACACACAATCAATGAAGTAAATAAAAAAAGGCTAGGAGCATGAATTTTTGTAAGAAAAATATTAAAATAAATAAATCTTTATATCTAGCTCAATCAAAATAGTTTCAAAAAAAAATTGAGATGAAACACAAATAATAGGCCAACTAAATTGGTAAGATCATTCATGAAGATTATAGAGGCATCTAAAGGTGATTAGGCCAATCATTTTCTCAAATGTATAGATAAGGCAGATTTAGGATCACAATAGGTGGCTGGTGAGAACTTCAAATGTCAACTAATGCTATCAATTAACTCTTGTATGATCTAGAAGTTGACCAAATGATAAATGAGCAAAATTAGGGTCTACTTATAATATTTTGAGGTGATATTCATATTCTATTTTAGAGAACTTTGGAATATTTAAGAAAATGATTAGACAAGTTTCTTTTAAGATTGACACGGTCTGCTTAATAAAGTTAGGAATGAGTTGGGTGATTGATGGTGTGTGTTAGTGGTGGTTCGTCACTGGTCACACTTTTATGATGTCACTAACCATTCAAAACCATCTTATTAATTTCTTATGCTTGAAAGTAATAGATCTACTTTTTATATGTGAGATACAAAAACTTTACTTTATATTTAGTATCACAAATTTGGTTATCAAACAATAATTATGTCATCATTTTACATGAAAATATTTATCTCATATAATTGATAAAATGAAGTTCATAAGAAATTTAGGAATTTAAAATCATATCACCTAAACTATGTACTAATGTGCATGTGTTGATGTCAATGCTTTGTTTGAAGTTAGGGATGTAAAAATGAAAGTTTAGTTATCTCCTAAATGATAAAAATGGGAGAAAATAATGATGGGAGTGGCAATGGAGATTGTGAAGTCCTCTTCAGTGGATTTCCACTTGCCACCTCCCCCTTTAGTATGCAGTTAGGTGATGCACATAATAGGAGTAAGAAAGGCCTTAACTAGTTATTATGGCTTCAGCCATTCTAACTATTTTGACCCAATTCAACTAATCCAATGCTTAACATCTTTAGAGTCTTAATTCGATTAATCACGATGAGACCTTTAGCTG